TGTGAGTACTTCTGTTTCTTAATGAATCCAGTCTCCTCCATCATCTGTCTGTCCATCAAGTGCCCAAGGAAATGGTGGTTTTCTGAAGGTGTTAGGGCTGCTGTTCATGCTAGTAGGGAAGCTAACTATGCATTTCACTCTTCTCGAAACACTTGGTAGTGATTCTTTTTAGCATTTACATGTATAACAAACAAACTGTTCATATATGCTCTAAATAGTGTGGGAACCTATGATCAGTGAGTGGAGACTCCAAAACTGAAGTTACAGTAGTTCTGTCTGTTTTTAATGGAAGACTTTTTCTGTTGGAAAATGAAAGTGTGTCAAAGGTAAAATATGGCTTGGGATATTTGGTTCTGAAAAACAGACAGGTTTTAAAACTTGTCTACCATACAAAGTTGTCCTTGAAACCTACTTGTTTCTGTCCAATCCCATGGTGGGCAGAATGCTTTGGATTTACAGCATGCAAGCTGGGAGCTTGGAAGGCCCCAGAATGTGGGATACAACCCTCAGAGCATCCAGAGGTTTGATTTTAAATCCTGCAGCATTGGGAGTCCTGAGAACTCAGGTGTTTTGACTTGCTGGAGTCTGTAAGCTCTTTGTTGTGGAACCAGGACCATGGAAGTACTGAGAACTCTGGTTTTGTCTCTTATATGATACTAGTTCCAGTTTGATTTTTTGGACATTCTTTTCCCTTTAAGCTTATTCCAAAATCAGCTGTGAGGTTTTTTTAATCTGAGCTTTCATCTGTATACAGCTGTATGCCAGAGTCATAAGCTATTCTTTCCAACCCTTGTTCCGTATCTCCTTCTCATAGCCTTTCAGGATTCGGAGCAGTGACTGGAAAGATGTAGTCACTGAGTTTATGCTCAGCAATCTCAGTTCTTTGTCTACCTAGTGTACCCTGAGGAAGGCTTGTATAATTGAGTTCTTGGTCAATATCATTCAAAAGAAGAGAATGGATTTAAGAACCATATCCCTAGAACACTTGATTTGTTTGTCTCTCTGCAGGGCTCAGTATTGTTCTGAAGTCACGTGGCAGGGTTACTAAAACTCAGGATTTCTAAAAATAATTAATTTGAGAATGGTAGAATGGTTAGTGTACTAGCTGAGGCCATGTGAGGCACAGGTTCAGTTTGCTTCTCTGCCAGCAATCTCCTGTTCATCCTCAGCAAATGTCTTGGTCCTTGAGTTCCCTATATTTAAAATGGTGACAGTAGCACTGTCCTACATAATAGAAGTTGCAAGGTAAAATGTAGAATAAGTTGTAAAATGGCTTGTATATTGTGGTGAATGGAGGTTTTATTTTCCCTTTTTAAAAACCCCTAGAGTTTCATATTTCATATTCAGGAATCATGGGGGACCATAACAAAAGCGTAAGATAGTTTTGCTCAGCCTTCAGTTTTTGTTCCTGTTCTTGCCTATTGTAGTCCCTCTCCCTCTCACTGGATCAGCAAGATCATTTAAGGGGAATGTCTTGTAAAATGGATTTGGAACTTTTACAAGGGGAAAAATAAGTGTAATCTTTATATATTGCTGAAACATTTTATATCTGTATTATGACTTTATAAATACATGGTTATAAATATGTGTATAAACTTGGTCAGCTTTTGCTCTATTTTGCAGCGTGGTTCCACAAGCCAGTTGTGCAAAAACAGCTGAAGAGGGCAGAAACAGAAGGATTCAGGAGCACTGTAGCTGGGCATAATTGGCACAGAAGTTCTGGTGATATGAAACTAAGGTCTGAGAAAAAATATTAAATATTTTGTGACTTCCAATAAAAACTGAAGTTGTTGGGATCTGTATTTTGAGGACTATGGTGGACTGTTCCCAGGAGGGAACCAAGTAAATCAGTTTCAGCAGGTGAACCAGCCTATGTTGTCTGGGCCTTATTACTAATACCCTTCCTTTCCATTTTCCTGCTACACCTATTGTGACATCCATTTTCATACCTGGTGTCTGAAAGTAGCCTAAATCCTTACCCTTAATACTTGGCTGAGCCGTTTTGATGCAATGGACTGATTGATGTTCATTGCCTTGTCCCAGGCATTTGTGTGGGGGACTGAAATTATTTTCTTGATGCGGAGACATCTCTCAGCAACAAAATTCTGTGATTCAGTAATCAAAGATTAATGAAGTACAGAGTGAGCTTTTGAATGTTTTTCATGCCCTAATTACTTAACAGAGGTGAGATCTGTAGAGAAGCAAAACGTGTTTGCTCCCGTGCTGAGGTACACTGTCCAGTGGGACCACCGTAAGGTACTGTTGAATAGCCTTGCAGCAACACGTACCGCTGAAGCCTCAATCAGAGGCAGGGTTAAGTGCAATGGCTAGTCAAAACGCAGCTGGATGGACTGGTTACAGCTCTTTCACTGCTTATTTTTTCAGCAAATAAGCAGTTCTGTGCGATTTATTAACTGAGATACATAAATACTGAGTTAGAGTTCCAGCAGGAGGAAGTGGCATCTAATCTGTAAAGCTGCTCCGTGGCCGCAAATTCAAGCGGCGGAAGGTTGCTGAAGCTTGTAAAGTCTCCCTCGTGGCAACAGCAAAACCATAAGAGGGTCATATGTTCCCTTTGCACACAGCGGGAGGGGAGGCTGATCTGGAACCGTGTTTGCCCTAGTGCTTATTGCTCAGGTTTGGATTGTGAAGCTGGCTATTGGCTATACATGTGACTTTGGTTGTTCGTTCTGAAGTATAAATGGTGATGTAGGCCAGTCATGAAGAACTCTTGATGGAAGATGCAAGTAATGGTAAAGAAAACTAATCTTTTGTAGTATTTGAAAGCAAGAATAGAAAACTGCAAAACTTCAGTAAGGTCTAATAATGAAAACTTGAAAAAAATAAGCTTGAAGGGACAGTTGTGTTGCTTTTTTTTTTTTAACCACCAATAGAAATGTTTCCACTATTTACAAACTCTGACTGGATTTGTGGAGACTTTTGTTTATTACCAAATATTCTTTCAGTTTTTTAACCTTGAGGAGGGCAGATTAATTATAATTGTCATGTAACTTCATATGGGAAGCTAAGGAAGATATTTATATTGCATTAGTTTTCACAAGTGCACAGCATTTTTTTTTTTTTTTTTTGCTGAAGCTAGTCTACATCAGTGTAAATTTTATGGCAAACCAATGGGTGCAACAGGAAAAAATGCTTTAAAATACTTGTACATTCTCATAATTCTTTGGCTGAGAGCTCCGTTTTGTGTGACAAGTAAAAACCACTGAAAGTATCTAGCTGCAGCGTAGGATTGCAATGGCACAACTTTACACTGCCCGTAAGTGACTTTTAAACAGAAGAATTTTTTCAGACTTCTAAAACCATACTCAAGACATTTATCTTTTGTTTGAATGTGACTTACCCTGCAGGCTCCGGTGTCCAAGGCAGGTACCTGCCATGGCCTACAAGTCTCTTCCATGTTTTTTTCTGAGAAGGTTGGTTCTTGATGACTGCTCATGTTGAAGTTTGTATGTGCACCATAGAGGTGTGTAGAAAGGCTCCACTCTACTTTGGTCACTGCTAATTTATCTTTTTTTACTTGGGTGTTTTGTGTGGAGCGTTTTCTGCTATCATACGTGCTGCTGAGTGGTCATCTTGCAGTCGCCTTTCTGATGGGCGTATTTGATGCAGGTAGTTCTGAAATGACTTTTGGAAAGCAAAGTGGATAGACAGTGTTGATATAGGCTTGGGCCTGCCAGTTGTTAAAATGTTATTCTAGAGCAGAAGAGGTGAGAGAAAGATATTACACGTACAAATACGGGGTATTTTGTAGCATGAAGTACTTTAGGGTGGAGGGATCTTTTCTCAGAAAAAGCCTGTCAAGAAAGGTACAGCACTGCTTCAGGGTGTTGATTCTGATGTTGCTACATAAAAAGTTACAGAATTCTAAGGGGCTTTTGGACGTAGATACCTAAGATTGAATAAATGTTATATTATCTTTTCTCAAAGATACCTGATAAAATAATTAACAGTGCATAATAATGTGCATGTGAAAGGATCAGTTGAAAATTGTGCATAATTTTTGCTTTTCCTGGTAGCTGTATCTCTTTCATAGTGGCCTCCTAATATGGTTTCTTTCTTTACAAAAAGAAAGTAAAAACCTGCATTTTAAATCTGCTGTATCACTTTGCACCATCAGTGCGCTGCTCTTATGCTTATGACAAGATGACAAATTTGGAAGCACCAGGCGTGACCCGAAGTATTTCTCTTCCTCCCCTCAGGCACTTGCACACACAGGCACAGTCGCACGTGCATGGTCATGCCCCCTCTCCGAGTCCTAGCAGGCATGTTGCGCTGCTGTCTGGAAAAGAAATGTGGCATTTGGGTCAGTGTTTCTAGTTCACAGATTACCTGCGATATAAGATGGCTTATTGCCCTACGTAAGGACAACCTCTGACATACTAGTTAAATAGAGTGTCAATAGCTGCAGGTTCAGATATCCTTGCATTTCAAGAGTTTTAAGAATAGATTGATGACCCCGTAAGAGACAGCAGCTCTGCTTTTCTGGTTATGGTTAATTATATCACAGGTGATGGCGTCACATTATGTGCATGTATAACTGAGACATGTGCCTATTCAGTGTATGCTGGGCGCTAGTCTATTCCAGTTCCTTCTCCCATGGCGGCATTCGTTTAAGGCAGAAAAAAAATGTAAGTCACTGTAAATTTAATGAGTAGGGAGAGGTTAGCACCTGTCTATCTAATCCATACTTTTCCAGTATTTTATTGCATTAAAGGAGTATCACTACCTCACAGTTCTAGCTCATAAACAGCTAAACAGTACTTGACATTTAAAGAGATTTTCTGTTGTGCACTTGTATAGTCAAGAGTAATTCTAATCCTATTAAAGATATTATGTCATGGAGGCGTGCCCTGGGGGAGAAGGCTTCTGCTAACTGGCCCGATGGAAAGCAGAGGGGAGGGGCGAGCAGCAGGGTGGATTTATTACTCGATAGTTAGGTCAGGGATTTCTGTGGGAAATGCCCAGTGGTTGCAGTTGCTGATGATTTCACGGCAACAGCAGTGAAACACAGAGTGCGCTCCGATAGCTGGTTACTGAATGAGATACTGCAAATGGGTGGAAAGAAAAAAGACAGCATGTGAGAGAGAGTCAGAGAGACACAGAGAGGGAAGCTGAGAGCAAGGAAAGTGCTCCGGCTCGAGGAGAGTCTCCCAGGTGTACTGCAGAAGCTTTTTGGAAATGGATGCAAGGACCATCTGCTGCCTATAGATGAGAGGGCTGTAGACTAGGAGTGGAGAGAAAGAGCTTCTGGCTGTTTTGAATAAAAATCGAAGTTCTGCATAACTGATTCATCGAGATAAATCATGAATATGCTCTTGCATGGGATATTAATGTATAAATCCATGCTACAGATAGACAGAGTACAGCCTACATTGCTATAAAAAAATAAAACCAGCAACAATGCAGTGAATAAATTCTGCAGTCATTATCTGATTTATGTACGAAGAAAAAGAGAAGCAAAACACAGACAGCTCTTATCGTACTGTGGCATTTGCAAGGCACTGTATTTAATGCTGAGAGATGCTATACATTAAATCTGACAACTGTGAAAAGAGAGATCATGGAGAAGTCAAGTAGTGAGGATTCTTCAATTCACCGGAGTCCATCTTTGGATAGCAAAGACTCAGATTTTGCTAAACCTTCTACCTCAGGGAGGCAATTTGGTCGAGGTTTTACTGCTGGAGCTTTCTATGGTACAACTGGATCACGCACACAGAGCCACACTGGGGTCGGAACCGGGACCGGCGTTGGGACTGGGACTGGCGTAAAAAGTGACAAATACAGTGCACCCAAAGGCAGCAAATACGTGGTCTTTTACCTGGATCTATCCTTTGTTTTCCTTTTAGAATTTAAGAAGTGCAACATGGCAAGAGGCTGCCTGTGTTGTTTGAAATACATGATGTTCCTTTTCAATTTAATATTTTGGGTGAGTACTGCCTTTTCAGTTGCCTTCATTTGTTAGTGTATCCTGTACTGCTGCATTATGTGTATAGTGCATCTTTGAAGCAGTACAGTAAGTTCTCCCCTCCCCTCCCTCCCTCTCGTACCTGCTTGGAATATTTTCAATGTTAAACTTGTGTCTATTGGGAAAATGTACATGCTTTCTATATATTACTACCTGGTTACTGTAGTTTGGCTACTAATGCCTCAGACTTGCTGTTCTAATATGTGTTTTGAACTGGGTTATCTAAGAAAGGGCAGAATTGTTGCCCTTTAAGGAAGAGCAGAATTGTTGTAGCATTAAAATCCTGCAGTGGCAGGATTTTTGCATTCTGTTGTAATACCTCATGTTGCATTAAGCTGCAGGTTAATTTAAATTTGAAGTACATTCTCATTGTCACCATAAATCTCATTTACTTTTTGTAAACTTCTTTTGACAAACTGCTTTTTCATTTGAAGGAAGTTCTGTCCCATTTCTTCAATTAAAAACAATAACGCGTGTGTGTTCTAGCCTCTTAAGGTATCAGCATAAATGTGAAATGACTAGAATGGTCAATCTGGATTCAGTTTCAGCTGCAGTTGTCCACATTGGTGTGTGAAGTTGGAGACTTGCACTTGCTTCTGAGGGATCAAAATTGATTTTCCTCTGTCAGCCAAGAGGCATGAGGAGTCATAACAATGCCTCAGCAAGCAAGTTAAAAGCGTAATAGCTACTTTGGGCAAAGTATTGTCACGTACAAGGGAAGAAGGAAAAGTTAAGTCATCTGGCAGCTAGGCATCCTTGAGCGAACAGTATTGTTGAGGAAATCACAGACTGATTGAAATACTGAGTATGCATGAATGTAGCCCAATATGAATCGGTTTGCTTAGTTTGAAATCAAAGGTCACTGCTTTCCGGATGGTTGCAAAGCTTGGGCACATGAACAAAATCATTCATGGTTGTGATCCAGAAATATACAGTATGCTTCACAAACAAATGAAAACACCTACCCTGGATTTATTTTGGAAAAAGAGGCATTAACAGTCTAGTTCTGATAGCTGCCTCTGGTGTAGAGATATCATTGTTCACACTAGGAGCCTTACTAGCAGCTTCTCTGGTTATCTTGACCCACTTACTGAAATAACCTTTAAGAGCAAGAGTTAATGGGAGATTTGGTACAGTGTTGAACCACTCATGCAACAGTGAGCTTTTATCAGTAATAGACTGAAATGCTACAATAACTGAACTTGTGGGCATCTTAAATAGGAAGGTAGAACTGGACACTGAAGAACATCTGATCAAAGTTCACTTGTAATTTTTTTTTTTTTTCATTTCTCTACACAAACCCTACCAGAAAGTTGCCTTAACTATTTCTGGAATAAATTACTTTGAACACACCAGATTTATATCAAATTGGCTATTTGACCCAATGCTGCATTACTTTGACACCTTGGAAGTATTTTTTTCATATGCTTTATGTTGTGGTTAGTTTTGGAACAGCTTTTTTCTGATACCGTTACTCATGTCCTCTATCATCAGTCATTAGGTATGTCTTACCCCTCAGGTCGGTAGATGCAATGTCTTTCTTTGCTTTTATCTCCTTCCCAAACAGCAATTTTCTTGACTCTGCATCAGACCTTCAGAGTCCATGTTTTCTATTCCTTGAACTTGTAAAAATATTTCAGCCTTCATCTGTGTGCTCATCTCTCTCTGCTCTGCTCCCACTGGACCTTTATACAAACACATTGCTTCTTAGGTTAAAACTAGCTTACCATCTGGAACATTTCTCTAGTGCCCTGTGCTTCTTCAACTCTTACCTTTTAATCCCCTTTACACCCTCCCCACCATGTCTTTTGTTGTGAGGCTTATACCACTTTTCTTTCTGTTATTAAACTTTGTCACCACATCTCTGTCTAAAAATGCTTTTTGTATGAACCAGGCTATACAGAATGAAAATTATACTCTAGAATGGTGAATCTGAGAGATTATAGAAAAATGCTAAATGCAAGATGTCAGGTACTTGTCAAAGTAGTTTACAACAGAAATTTGGTCCACCAGCCTGGTTTAAGTTGTTCAGAAGTCCCCCTTTCTTCTTTAGTTAGCTTATATTCAATTTTGTAAGCCCGTTTTGATATTCCCATGCATCCTTCCAGAGGACTGCAGTCTTGCTAGATTCTTATTTTTTTTAACCAGGCTATTTTATCGTCTTGAGCCATTCAAATGCATATTATTATCATCTCTTTTTACTCATGGAAACGCAAGCTAGAATGAAGCATACTACGGACGGGTGTTCTGTAGTTTGCTGCCTCTGGCTTTGTACCTGGAATCTACATTCGTTCTACTATGGCTCTCTGACAGGTCTTGGATGTTTGGCTCTGTACGTGCTCCTTGCTGACACTGTGCACTTGCAGTATCTCTCACTCCTGCCCTGAGCCCTCCTGCCAGCTCAGCCCTGGGCTCCCCACACAGCTCTGCCAGTGCCCTCCGCTCCTACCTTGTCCTGAAGCACTCCCTGCTATTTCAGTCCTGTCTTTCTTCTTAACCCATTTTTCCCTTTCCCAGGTTTGCCTGTTCTCATTGCTTCTTTCTGAATTTCTGTTAAGAAACCCAAGTCCAAAGCCACAAAGTTGTGGCTTGCTCTTGAGCAGTGACTGTCATCTTTTGTAATGCAAGGTGACTTATTTTTAAAAAGAGAAGAATTTTTAAGCATGAAATTTTCTGAACCTGTAATTCAAAGCAGAATGAGACTCCTTGGTTTTCAGAGGCGAGGAGACCACTTCCACACAGTTACCTTCTGACAAAGGCAAGAAGCATTTTCGTGGGGGGTGGGTGGGGGTTTGTTTTTGTTTTTTGTTTAATACAGGAACTGATTTAGGCAACTGGAAACAAAGGTGGAAAAACTGTGTTTCAGGGAGTCTTTAAACAGGTGCCAGTCTAGCAGCTGTACAGCCGCAATAGGCAATCTGGCTGACCAGCTTGCTTGCCACAAAGCTGCATAGTTCTGAGCCTGCGGTAGCGGAAAGCCCACCTCATGGGAAGTGTTGTTCTGCCATAGTAAAATGGTGTTTCTGAGACGCTTCCTCTGAAAACAAAGACTGGTGGTGTCCTTTGGCATCCCAGAATGCTGGGCACTATTATTGTCTTGAATGATTCTCAGCGTTGGCCTAAAGAAGGATATTCTTCTATAGAAAAAGAGGAATCTTTTTTCCATTGTTTGCTTCTTGACACAGGCTGGGACCTAATCTGTCCCGCATGGGGCAGTGAGCTCTACTACTCCTTCAGCCTGGCAGCCAGCTCATATGTATTTGAAGACCAGTTATATATGTATATTATATATTATACACATTATTTTGATATGGCATATATTTTAATATTTATACGTATATGTGTATACACGTGTATATTTGAAGGTGATGGAGAAGTGCAGTGGTTAGTGGATTCTTTCTGTCGTTACGTAGCAAACATACTGTCACTGTGATAGCTACAATAAAGATGTGGTGCATTGTTTCTGCCCAGCAAGAATTCAGTGTTTGTGAATTAGATTCATGACAAAAAAATACAGTTTTTAAAATTAGCAGCATGTGTATTAGTTAGCATGGAAGGTTCTCGTATGAGCAAATTGATCCAAGTGGGGCCCAGCAGTAAGTTGAAACAGAAGGTGTTTCTCCACCATATCACTAAGAGCTTCAGGTATTTCTCTGTGGCCCTCTGATTCTTAGCAGTTGTTCTTGGCCATCTGGCATTGCTTTCTTTTAGAGATTAGGAAAGTCTGAGCTGAGGGTTAAGGAAGCTTATAGTATTTAATTGTGTGGCTAGGATGATGATTTACACTGAATTCATCCTAAGTGCATAATATGTTTTGCAAAGGGACCGAGCAACTACAAATGTTAGTTGATTTAGTTTGCCTTCAAGAATAATTATGTGCAAACATATGGAGATTGCAAAGTAGCCAATACAGCTCTGCAGAAGAAATAAAATATTAATTTTTGCTTCTACAGGTAGCAGCTTAATTGTCAAGAAAGTTAATCACCAAATATAAACATTAGGGTGTATGTCTTTCTAGGGTAGATTTCACTTCACTGTTTTCTTAGAGAAAAGGATTACAGTAATTATTTTCACAAAATGTATGAGAAAATCTTACTGGCTAGAAAATGGAAATTCTATAAAACATGTTTTTAAAAGAAATTTCACTCGTGAAATGAGAATTACATAGGGTGCTAAAAGGGAAATTTTGAAGTGACAGGAATAAGTTATCAAAACTTCACTAGCGAACTTTGCAAGTAGACTGTGGTCATGGTTAAATTTTGGGTTGTTCTATTAATTTAACTAAGGTTAATGAGTCCACATACAGTGAAGCATTCATAATACACATCTTGTTAGATTTTAGCATTGCTTAATTTTAATATAAAATGCATTTTATTAGGGGAAAATATATGCAAGATTATTAAATCTCTGATCTTCTGTGTTTCAGGAAGAGCCAAGGAAAAGCTAAGTATAGTCAAGAAGATCCTTAATGTGGTTTATTTGTTAAATTGTTTATATTTAAACTACTACCAAAAAAATCTGATAGGAATAGTACCTATTTATTAATGGTATAATTGTAAGCAGAAGTTATCATTTATCTAAGTTAAGTGGGGTCAAATTTACAAATTCAGATATTAAATATTCAGTTTCAAAGTAAATTTTATAATAGGTTGGGAGAATTTTCCTTTCGCTAAATCATAAGACTAGAAGAGAAGAAGATGGGCTGGAAACTTGCTGGTCCAGAAGTAGCAGCAAAAAGTCAAATACAGCAAATATTTCACTGATACTCTGTTATTAAAATAATGGATAAAGACTGTTGCTCCTGAAGAGTATTTTTCTGCATTAATTACTTGTCTAATTTAATCTTATAGGAGGATTAATTAATATTTTTTCCTGTAGATTAAAAACAATGTTGTGTGTTTATCAGTGAGCGCAGACAGTAGTACAGCAGCCATGCAGGTCATTACTAAAGTCTCAGATCA